TCTTCCTTTTAATTTTTAGAGAGTGATAAGTTCCTTTTTATTTCCTAATAATATAACTCATTTATGACATAATTGCCCAATTATTTAAGCCTCATCCAAAGATGATCTCTTTAATATCTAGTTAGTGAGGTGGGTATAAAATTCTTAAAATAAGCTCTCTAAGTTAGGAAGCAGATGTTCTTTATTTTGTACTTCCCACTGGTACACTTACAGGGCATTTAATGAGTTAGACAAGAGGTGGAAAACCATCAAGTCACACAAGTTGTTTGATTGGATGCACAACAGGGAATCATTAATGTGGTTGGAAGAGAAAAAATAGAATTAAACTGCATGCTTATCTATTTCATGACATTTCTTTTTGTGGATTTCAAAGTCAGTAAGAATAATATATTCATATCACTTTGGTAAACCAGAATAATATTTATTCTTTCTTAGTTTAGTAGGAAATGTGCTATTTCTTTGTGAACTTCAAAAAAGTATTTCTAAACTATGCTCACGTAACAATCTATATTTAATTAAAAGCCCTGAAAAACATACATGGTATTTCTTTTGGCCTGAGCACTAAAGGGAATGAGTCCTCCACCTCTAAAATCAAAAGGGGTGTAGAGATATAGGTTGGTGGTACACACGACAGTAATATAGTTTCATGGGCATCACAATTTCTCACCAACATGTGCCTCTGGGCAATATGCAGAATGGAAGAAGTATCAGATGCTGTCACAGTAAGGGCCTGCCCTTGACAACTCTCAAAGGAGAGCCAGGAGAAAGTTGTTCATAAATGTCAACAAGCAACAGTTGTGGTTAAGTTCTTAGGAGCCTAATGGCTAAAACCAATGGCAAGACTGGCTTATCAACTCTTTAGATAATTATCTGTAATGTGAGATGTTTTATTTTTTAACATCTCAGTTATTAAAATAAATGTTGGTGTTATGCTGTAGTTATAGAACTATTAGATATGGTTTAAAAGCAACTGTGAACAAATGAAAGCCTATGTCACAATTTAAATTCTCAACTTGTTTCTGCAAACTTCCTGATTCATTAATAACAGTGTTTGGCAAGAGGAAAGAATGAATTCTTTCTCTCCCTCAAGTACTTGGAAACTATTTATTTTTAGACCACTCATTCATTAGTAATTCATCTCATACATATAATCTGGTATATTTTTCCAGTTAACCCTGGATAATTTTATTTTGATTAAAAAATACCTTTTTGTATTTTTGTAAAAAACCTAGTCAGTAAGTAGCAACTGCTAACAGTAACCCCCTTTCCTCTTTCTTGTGGGTGGCCTAAGATTGAGATGGATAGATGGGAGCCAATACTGAGTGTAGGCAGTAGTCCAGTGGCTAATTGTTGCCTAGACTCTTGGCTCAACTCTTCAGTCCTGACAGAAATTTTCTTTATGTTTCTTTAAACTTCACTGAATCTTTTCTTCCTTTCTTCCTTTTTTCTTTCTTTCTTTGAGTATAGAGTATGAGGAAGGAATGACAAATGTAAATAAAAATGACCACACATACAGTCTATCTTATACTTATTTAATACTTTAGCAATTTGCAAATTACCCCATGGGCTGAGGATACAGCTCCATGGTGAGCACTTGCCCATTGTGTGCCAGGCAGTGGGTTCAATCCCCATTACCCACCTGAATCATCTCTTATTAGATAACCTCAGGGTGAGCAGTTAATACAACCTATTAAGTCACCAAGACATATTTGCTGCCCTTATTCTTATACTTTGCCCCACATTCATATTCCAGTTGAAAATCACGGAAACTTAGGAATCATTACTTCTAAAGACTAATTAGTGGTTCTTGACAGTAGAGGCCAAGTAACAATATTATGAATTAAAAGATGTAATTGAATTAATCATTCAATATACACATGCAGAATACTTGCCAAGTAGCAGACACTGACGAACACTAAATCTAATGAGGCACCAAAAACTGTGCTCACAAATAAGGGAGCAGGCATTATTATTTGTTGTTGTTGTTTATTAGAATGTCTGTCCAGGAGCTATGGCTATACCTGACGGCAGCGTTCTTATGTAGCATGCGCAGGGCCCTGGTTTTGCTCACAAGACAGTAGACCAGTTAAACCAAAAAGAGTTTTCCTCATTTTTCTATGGGAAGTAGGAAGATGGACTGAAAAAATTTAGAGGCAGAATTTATGTGATCCTTGGATGACAGCATAGTCCACCAGAGAAAAACTAGCTTACAGGGTTCGATTTTGTTACCTCACTTTACCTTTGTCTGTGCCTACACATTACAGAGCCACCCCCCCCAAGTGCACGCGGGGGTGTGGGGTGTGGGGTGGGGAGGGACGCCTGAATGTCAAGAGGGAAACATGTAATTGCTTTATGGTCCTGAATGAAGAGCCTCAGGATTTGTTTAGTTTCCTAATCCCATGATTTGTCAAATGAGCTGTTTTCTTCATTCCAAGGGAGTGGGAAACTCTACAAAGTCTACAAAGTCTCTGAAGGTCTGGAATTTAAATTCAAGCCCCTTTCTAAAGAAATTCCATTTGCAAGGCACTCTATGAAAATAGTATTTAGAAATGTGGTTTCTCCAGTGTGACTTGGCCAAGAACCAGCCCGAACTAGTTAGAAATTTAACCCCTGAAGATGGGTAGCAGTTTACTTTCTGGGGACTTTTGAGTAGTAAAATGCACAGCCTTCTTTGTGTTCTATCTAAATATTTAATCTCTCATTAAGTCAAGACGCCATTCTTAGGAATTACCTAAGAATTACCATTCCTTTTTTTATAAGCCTGGTAAAATTCTTTATTGCACTTAATTTCTTTTTGCAGGCTAACTTACACTAGGAGCCTCAGGACTTCGGTGGTATTTTAGTGCTAATGCTGACTGATAAACACGGCTCATTTAATGCTGGAACAATTTCTCTAATGTTCAGAGTATGTAAAGTCTAAGCAAAATCTCCAATCTCCAAATGTCTGTATTAAAACATTGGATATTTAGAAACTATTTATTTGGAGAAAATTATTTTCTCAGCTGAAATATTTGGGGGACTAAGGTTTTTGGATTCTATGTAAGCAGCATGGTCACTATCCTTTTCTGTGTTAATAACATTTCCACGTGAAACTGAGATCTGAATAATGAATTCGTTTGGAGAATAATTTAGAAGTTCTCATTTACCTTGTCTTAACAACGTTGCGGAATGGTCTCAAATCTTTCTGGAAGTGCTTGGTTTGAGGCACTTGAAAGGGAACTGACAACCATTGGTCTGGCGGGTAAAGTGTGAATGCTAAGTGTGAGATACATGTGGGGTTGGCAAGACTAGCCATGACTAGACACACCTGGGGGACTCCCCTGGCTGGTGCCAACATTCCAGCTTTTAACATCATCTTTCTTTCGAGGACTTCAAGATCTATCATCAGGAGAGTATCCCTCGGAGGTAAGAAGTCATTGTCACATTGGCTAGAAAAGTAAACGCCCCATCGCCCCATCACGGCACAAAGGTGCCCAAGAATGGGATCCCAGGCAAGGTAAATGTGGTTCTTTCTGGTGAGGGGAGCCTTCATCTGGCATTTCTTCGACGCCTTAAATCCCTCTTCCTGCTGGTAGGCCACACACAAGATGTGGCTCGATTCTAGACGCCCAGCTCTCTTCAAACCCTAGCTAGTGGGCAGGGTCCTTAGGTTCCACTGGGAAGGGCCTGGGGATCCTGAGGAAGCCGCTGATGGGGAGCTAGCTCAGAATCCAGGGGTCAAGGTTTCCTCAACGGGTAAATTCTGGGGGGGGGGGTGCATGCAAACACAACCACGCGATGCGGTTCTTTCACACGCTCGTGGCATCTGCAGAAAGCTGCCATTGCTGAGGAGGCTCGCCTGGCCCCGCGCCGCCTCCCGGGCCAGCTCCCACGCGAGGAATTCCCGCGTTC